GCCACCTACCTTCTTTTAGTGGTCGTAAATAATTTGTCTTTTATCGAAACTAATCGCATTTTGTTATACAGAAAATTCATAATAAAACTATAATATATTCCTCAAAATATCATTCTATGCTACCTAAAAGTTTATTCTTAGAGGCTAAGCAATGTTTTTATTTTAATTACCCTCTCCAAAACTGCTGTTATTTTGGATAATAACAATATCTGTCTCTTATACACATCTAGATGTGTATAAGAGACAGGTGTAAAGGTGTGTCGCATAGCTGCCATTGTACTGCCACTGAGGTTCAAAATCTCGATAAAAATCTAACTGTCCCTTGGGGGTATCGTGGGAGAAGAAATACTCTGCACCTTGCAGAAAACCTGGAAAAAAAAACCGAATTCGAAATCCATGTTTAGGCTAATTTATTATATATTTCATTCATTGGTTATCTGTACAAAATGAAATAAAATGTAGATATATTATACAAAATGAAAGTTGTAAATAATACAAGCAACTTCATATTTCAATGTAATTCACACTACTTTAAAGATTTTTTTTTCAAATCAGATAAAAAATATTACAGACCGTACTAAAATTTCAAAATAAAATAGTTTAACCTTTAAATCCATTGATATCCCCAATTATTAAAATGAGAGGGTTTAGAAACTTATTAACAGTTACTTTTTCTGTATCTTGATGTATTTTTAATTTTTTACTCATATATAACAAGGAAAACAATTCTCATGACATTGTTATGACAATAAAAATAAAATTAATCTGAATCTGAATAGTAATTGTAATATTCAATAAAGCCATGTGGGTGTATTTTTGCCATCAACGTTTAACACACACTACCAAAATTTTTTACTCATATGTAGTCATGATTTGCCTATATATCGTCATCATGTAGTGTCAAGATCGTTTTTTAGTTTGGTTTTTTTTTTTTTTTTTTTTTTTGCTTGTTTTAGGCCTCAAATACATTTATTTATACATGTTTTTTTAATTATCTTTAACATTTGGTCATATATAATATGAACAATTTTTCAATCCATGCATAAGTAAGTAATGTATAGATTTAGTCTAATTACCAAAGAATGTATCAAATCCTCTGTTGTTTGGGAGACACCCTTCGCGGTAGAGTCCGAGATGCCATTTGCCAATCAAATGTGTGGAGTAACCAGCTTCTTGCATCTTTTCTGCTAGTGTAACTTCATCAAGAGGCAAACAGGCTTTTTGATCCTGGTCCAAGACACCATGTTGTAATCCCGTTCGTATCTGTTAAAGTAGCAGTATAAAACAAGAAATGTATGTATCCATTATTATAATTACGCTTATTAAAAAGCCTGTGGATACAATGCAAAATAGAGGTACTCGATAAACGTCTGGGATTCGAAACCTACCAGTCTGAGAATAGATTATCAATTTGTCGATCACCCGAAGTAAATATCATTCATATTTTAGAATAATTGAGGAAAAATAATTACTTTCATCATTTTTCACTAGACCGGTACTCGTCTGGCCCTTTAGATTTGTGCGGTGCGACGCCACTATAATTTAATCACCCGTTTTAAAAAACTGTTCAATGTGCAGTTGTGTAATTTTAGTTCTGCTGGCATTCGCTAGCCGTGTGGAAGTCAGTTATTTTGCTGTGTTAGACCATTTACACACTATAGACGACACTGGTAATAAATAGCTACACGTCTGACCTGTTAGTGCGGTGTGACGTCACCATAATTTAATCACCAGTTTTAAAAACGTTGAACATTTCCAATGTATTTACAAAGCAAAACGTTCCAGAGAAGTAAAACAAATGGAGTTGGAGAAAAGATAACTTCTTAAGTCGTTTTATTACAACAACCTTTCTAGCAATGGTATGCTTAAAATGTTTCAGTACTTTTATACTACCATATTGCATTATGACTCACTATGTCTGAATTGATGTTTCGAACAGTCTTTAAAAATCTAACAAAAAGTGTTGTGTGTGCAATGATTTGTCTTCTCGATGAATAAAGGTGGGCTGACCCAACAAAAGATAAAAAAAGAAATATATAAAATTACAAATATAAAATTAAGTATATTTTGTTCATACTGATGCATCGAATATTCAAATATTAATACTATATGAATAACAAGTTGGTAAAATTTCAATAGTTTAACAGTAAATCACAACAATTTTTTTCCAGGTAAAATCAGTATGTTCGCCCATTGGTGCACATAGCTTAGCCTACTGGTTGACCGTCAGCGAAGCTGTTCAGATCAAAAGAGGTGGGGTTTTTTGGCTTCTCTACCAAAGCCATACCACTTAAATCTAATATTTGTAAAAAAAAATCAAACAATTAAAAGCTGATTATCAGGGTTAATTAAGATTTTTACTGACAGTAAACGGTATCTGTGCGACAAACACTGAAACTACATTTACATACACATTGAATTATACTAAAATATCAAAAAACCAATGAGATAGCCCGCAACTATTTATACATAATTAACCACACGGTTCGGGTCACTATTGGTATGAATTTTAAACAGATTATTGTTAACCTTCTAAGTAAAGGTAAAAACAGTATTGCATAAATGTTTTACCACCTTCTTAACACAAGTTCTCGGCGATAAGAATAGGCTTACACATCGTTCATCATCACAGTTATTATGGGTCTTGACAAAGACAGAATGGTGTACTTAGATAACATGTAAAATGCCACCTACCTTCTTTTAGTGGTCGTAAATAATTTGTCTTTTATCGAAACTAATCGCATTTTGTTATACAGAAAATTCATAATAAAACTATAATATATTCCTCAAAATATCATTCTATGCTACCTAAAAGTTTATTCTTAGAGGCTAAGCAATGTTTTTATTTTAATTACCCTCTCCAAAACTGCTGTTATTTTGGATAATAACAATATTTGCAATTCTTTATAATGAACACACTCTTGTTCTAACCAAAGTTATCTAAAAATTAAGTTATATCATCTATTTGTTATAGACTGGAATCAATTTGTATAATATTGTCGCTAGTAGCAATATAACGATTTAATTTTGAATCTTGAAATTAATTGTTCAATGGCCTAGGAGTAGCAATGGTCGGAAAAAAGTTTTTAAGTATAATGCTGCATTTACATCGGATCCAAACGTAAATTTGGACCGCGTTTCCGAAGCGCTGGACGCCAGTGTCCCTTCTATTTTTACACACTGATTCGATTTTCTAATCGCATCGGTAGACTTTCCGATCTGAAAATTCGGATTCGGTGTGAATACCCTTTTAATTGTCTTCATTGATCAGCATTTACTTGAGACTTCACCACTTGGCAAATACCCCATGATTTAAAATGAAGTCATGGGACCGCTTTGTTCTGACTCTGAGCAACCTGAACTCTCTAAGAGCTCGAAGGTTATAGGCCTAGTTGATATTTTGTTTTATTAAATAGAAAATCTAAT